ATGGCATGTGAATGTTAGTAGTGTGGAATGGTTGCACTCTTTACTGGGGATAGGAGAGAAGGGAAAAGAAAGAGGCTCCCTTGAGTCACGTTAAAATCCCAGAGAAGGCGTGATTGCTTGTAGTTTTCATCATGAACTCTTACGGAGCCAGCTTCTTTGGTCTGCTGGCTTGTGCAGTGGAAACTATCAATTGCCTATCATTAGATTTTGACTGAAGCCCAGAGTAATGTAAGGCTGAATGAGATTGATTGTTATATTTATGGCTGTATCTGTGCAAATCTTACTCCTTTCTTTTTCCCCCTATGCTTCAGCGGAAGGAGGGATGAGGAGCCAAATGCACCTTTGCAGTCTAGTTTCTTTTGTCTAGTGGTGAAGCTTCATTGCTTGACCTAAACAGATCAGACCTATTAACTTGAGAAAAACTACAGTGGATTTTCCCATGGTCCAGTCTTTTAATGGGGATGAAGATTATCACTAGCTCAGTATGGGTTACCCAGGGAATCACATCAAAAGCAGCAGCGCAACAGGGTTGCATGCGAGCCCTAGGATTCCACATCTGGAAAAGGCTGTGTATTCTAAATCATGCAGAGAGCCACTTTAAAGACACGCATTATGCACTAGTAGCCTGTAGTATTTGTTTTGTATATTTTTCGGAAAGTTACAAAAAAATCTCAGCCTCACATTAAAACAGGAAAGAGAAGCTTATACAAAGTCTGAGAAGGGTATAGATCACAACAGAGGTAAGGTCTGTCCCTGCTAAAGGATACTAGCAACTTCTATGCAACAAAAACTGAATGATTGCCACATTTTATCACTTTTCCTTGAAAATGTGAAGGAAGTAACTTTCTGAATGCATGGTGGAATAACTACAGATTGCTATTCACCAGGCAGTTAAATGAGGCATAGATAATGCCTAGTGTTGGTGACACCATATTGACGCCACTTGCTGTAACAAATAAGACAGGTGCCTGAACCACAGATGGATGAAGCTTTGCTGAATGAAAAAAAAGATGACAGATCAATAGGCAATTTTTTCTTTTCTGATATCAAAATACCACAATATTCAGCAATGGAAAGCTTAAAATTATTAAAGACATAGTGGTAAGTTGAATAATTGAAGCAGGATAGCATACAGTAAGTGCTATTTGAAGTTGGCTCTAAATCAAGCACTGGAAAGTTTGAGGGGTCCTTGAAGTATTGACAATGTGTTTGACTTCCAGTTGTAATGATTTCTTTCAACTGTGGTTTTCTTCAGTGTCTCTACCCCTTCAGAGTAGAAAATATATAAAATGCATGGCCTAAGGAGGCTTCTGCTTTCGGTGTTCATGACTTTCAGTAAACAGGTTTGGATTTGTTTCTTTTTATAAGCACAACTTAATGACATATACATAGAGAGTCAGATTTACTGTGTAAGTTTGTGATGGCAGAGGTGGATGTTACTATCTTCCTTACTTTATAGCTAGGGGTCTTTATGAGCCTCTTATTAATGCTCTGTCTGTATAGGAAATGCATCCAGCAAAATAATCTTCAGGTGTGATGCTAGGTGCAGATTTTATGTCCCATGCCTGTGGTAAAGGTGACCTTCAGGGGAAAAATAAGGCTTTTTGCATTTGCTATCTGCTGTCTGCTTTATAGGTCTGAAATTGAGCTTGGAAACCACAATTAAAAAAACCCAAACACCCAAGTCTTGCTTTCTGTGCCTCCAAAAGTGAACAGAAAGTCGTCTTTCATTGTTTTTAATGCTGAGCACATGATCAGTCAGCACTCTTTGGGCAGTTTTTCCTTCATAGCCTCATTCAGCCATGTCTCTCCAACCTTTGCTTTCGCAAAAATATGACTTCATATGACAATTTCTGACAGCACAGGATGATCACTAAATAATCAGCTCTTAGTGACAGGAAGTGATTCACTTGAGGTGGCTGTCATAAACCCAAGGAACCTGTTCCACCTGCTTGCAAGAGCTCTGGTTTACCATCTCTGGGGCTTCACAAGGAGGCAGCTGGCTCTGCCTCAGCATCAGGGTCTTCTGTCCCTGTGGAAGAAAGGTAAAGGCACAGAGAGGTATGATGGCTCTCCAGCTGTCACAGTACATAGCTCAGTGAATCAAATTGAGGTGCTGTTGGTTGCAGTTTTCATTAATAAGCTGGGTGTTGAAATGCAGTGTCTGGGGAGTAAGTGCATGGTGTGTTTGGCTTCACCTTCTGGGAGAGGGCAGGGCTGACCTCTGGAGATGGGGCAGGGCAGGCAGCCCTGGACCACAACTCTTTTGGTTGACACCCAGTGACTCACCAGAGCTTGCCTGAAGCTCCCCAGCAGCACCATTAAACCGGCAGTAGGGAATAAAGTAGGCTCTGGTGGTGACAAGAAGAAAGTGATTCTTAATGAGATGTGAAGGCCCTAAAGAAAATTCAGAGCCAAAGGGTAGACAGGAGAGAAAGAGAACTCAGTAAGTTATACCCACCCCAAAATGAGCTGCTAATCACTGCTGCTATTGTGAGGACTATAATAAATCAGTGTCTGCCCTGGCTGCCTGCATCTCATTATGCACAAACATGCAGATAGAGAATGTCAGACTCAATAGCGATCTGTCATGTGAATGCTGCTGTGTCCGAGTGGGCTGGCGTTTGCATGGTTAGCCGGCTTTGTATTTTTTTTTATTTTTTTTTTTTCCCCGTGGGGGATATCTATTTTATTTTGGAAATGTTGATTTGCTCTGTACTGTGGGTAGTAAATTTGCCCTTTTCTTCAGTGATTTATGAATTCTGTGATGATAACGTTGTATTTAAGGTGTGGGGGTAAAATATCTTTCATATATGTCAGACTTAGTGATTGGGTTTTTTGTTTGGGGTTGGTTTTTTTTTCCAAGTCCTCCTCCGTGTATGGTGTCATGCATATTACTGAAGCTGGAGCAACACCTACATATATTTATGCAGCTGATGTATAGTGCCCATTACTTAAGCATCACAGGCTGCCTCAGAAATGCTAATTAATTTAAGCCCTGCTGCACCCCTTAGAGGCAACTTTTGTTGGTCCTGATAGATGTACACATTGGAGCTGCTCTTTGTTATTTGTTTTTAATATGATTTCTATACGGGGTGTGGGGGGGGAATGAATAGTTTTTACTTTGTTAGGTAGTTGACAAAAGGTTAGGCTTTTGGTATTGTTGAAATAAAGTATGTAGCAAATTTTGAATTTTACTGCAAGCCATGCCTCAGAGGTTCTTATTTTCTTTTAAAGCCTCAGCTCATGGAGCTGGGTAAGCTTGTAGATGACCTTTTGTTTTTAAACATCTGTGTCTAGCTTGTGTTGTTGCAAAGTAAATTTTAATGCATTGTCTCTGCTTAATCTAAAATCTGGGATGCAGTAAGAACTTGACTAAGGTTGTGAGTTTGTTTCTTCTTAGTCTTAAAATTTTTACATGATTAGGACTGAGATTACCAAAGACAGTGTGCATGCAGTTCAGAAGAGAGTCCCATGGATTACTAGTTGTTTTTGTGATCATGTTTTAGTTTCAGAGCTCTTCAGTCCCATACTATGTTACCTAGGTAAAACAAGGGTAACCTCCTTCCCCCTCCATGTGCACATCAAAGATGTTTTTGAACATCAACTCACACTTCTTTTGTCTATGCTCCATCTTAAATCTCTTGAAGATTGATGCGGCATATCTTCTCCAAATGCTTTATACTCCTTTGTCTTTACTCTCCCTTCTGAGCTCGGCCCTGTTTCTCTGCTTCCTTTGTCAACACCAAACTAATTTCCCCTATCATTCTCTCCTACCCTTCCTACATCCCCTTTCAGTACTAGATCCCTAGCTACCTCACATTTTAAGGAGTGGTAAGGACTACCAAAGCAGCTACATAAAGCTAAAGTCAAAGCATGGGCAGCCCAGTCCTGATGTCTCACTCCTTCCAACAGGAAAATTCTTAATTCCTTAATATTTTTCTAGGGACCAGGTGTCCCTTACTACCTAGGGCATAATTTCACAATCATTTGAGGCCAATCTGAGATCACACTGTTACTAAAAGAGGCAATCACCTTTTATAGTATTTGCTCCTACCATCTCTTTTCAAGTAGCTGTCTGATAGGGCAGATTGTTAATTTTTTGGTAACTGTAGATGAGGAACCTGATCTGATTTGCAGCACAGCCCCATGGGTGCTAGTGCTTATGCCAGGAAACCATGGGAAGCATCCAGCCAAGAGCAGGGAAAAAGTGTGACCACTGCTTTTGGTAGTAGTATAGTCTTTGACTGACTGAAATTATCATTTAATGCCACCTGATTTCAGGGTCTTGCTGGAAGGGGTGATCCTGCATCTGGGTGTTTGCTGCTGTGCTGTTACCGTCTGATTTGTGCCTGCACAAGCTCATGCAGCTGTGGTGAGCCTACCTGATGACCTGAGCCAAATGGGGAAAGGAGGTGTCTCGTTTTGTTCATGTAGTTTTGTTAGGCAGTTTTTGGCCTAAATCGTCCTCCCAGTTAACCAGACAAGTGGCCCACTCTTAGACATGCTTTTCACAGTGTTTATAAATCTACCATAGTATTCAAAGGCAGTGAAAGCTGTGGTAGGTTGCTGTTGCTCAGGACAAACTGGGAAATGTTCCTGTGCTCTCCAAGCCATGAGGCAGCTTCGTGCTTCTGCTTATTTCTGCTCAGACTTGCACTCAGCCTCTACCTAGAAACCTCATAAGCTCTAAGGCAAACAGTGTGATAAACAGTACGCAGTTCACCGTGTGACCCGGACGGGCCAGGTTGCCGGAACACGTGGATTGGGCCAAAAAGAAATTCAAGATGATTGTGAATTCCTCTGCTGTGTCAATATGAGCTTGTCAGGTTTTCCCCCTTCCAGGAACATGACTATTTTAAAGCATTTCAGGGGCTGCAGCAGCATATCTTTCCCAAAAGCGACACTGTATTTATTTTTCAGGCCAACTTGCATTATAATTTTAAAGCTGAAGGTAGTTTAGACAAAAACTTTAATGATTTTTTTGTTTGTTTGTTTAGTTGGATATGAAAAACACCTCTCCTTTCTTCTGTTTCGGCAGTTAAATATTCTGGTTGACACTGGGAGCAGTAATTTTGCTGTAGCAGGTGTGCCTGATCCTGATGTCACCTCCTACTTCAATACCGAGCTGTAAGTACCTGTTATGCACGCCGTGATGGGTTAGGGTGTCTTTCAGATTCTGACTCCTCCGTGTGCTGATAAGAGCTGGAGAAAAAAAGATTACAGGGTAAAAATTGGTTGCAAAATCATGCCAATTTCAGTTTGTTTCTTGTCTGAATATTCTTGGAAGGAAATAGAAGTTTAAATATACTTTCCCTTTGTTTAAAAACAAAAATTAAAACCCAGTAATTGGTATCTGTTTACTTGACATTTCATCCAAAACTAGTTAGTAAGAAACTAATTTGTTGTTTAGTTTGGCCAAGGGCCTCAATCAGTGATCTGGGCAGACTCTGCTGAATCTGGTTTGTTTATAAGGTATGACTTTGTGGTTTTGGTGCTTGTTATGCACTACATTTTCTGTGTTTAGCATGAGCTGACATTAGTCACAGCCAAGCACAGCTTTGTCTGTCTGAATCACTCTCCCTCCTTCCTTCCTTCCTTTCTGCCCTTCTCTGACTTCAATTATTTCAGGTAAACTTCTCCAAAACAGTGTCTATCTTTAGCTGAAGCATATGGATCAAAGTACTCAGAGGACTGGGAGGCTGGGGAGTATCACCATTCTCATTACCATTTTATGTATTTTAACATGGGGTTTTGCACTTTTTTTTTTTTCCAATAAGATGCACTGGTAATGGAAGGAAAGCCACTATTTCCATGCTCCATGCTGCTTACTAGAATAACCTTACCTCCTGTCACATGCTCAGATGCTAATGGAGATACTTCACATCTCACTCTGATATGACACAGGTCTGGAAAGTCCAGAATTTGCACTTGAAAGCCATTTTGGCAGTACTGCAGAGTTTTATATGCCAGCTATCCCCTTCCATAGGTAGTGGCTAGAGGAAATTTAATTGCAAGGAATTAAAAACACAAGCATTTCTTCTCCCTTTTCTCTTAAGTGATGTTATTTTGTCTGGAAGGGCAAGCCTCTCTCATAAGAACCATAAACCATTAGAAACAGCAACAACAGTAGAGGTTGTGTGTTGAGAAAGACTGTGAAATCACTTGAAGGTTATAGTCTCTTATCAGTGTTCTCTCAGTGTACCCTGTGTTTTGAGAACTTTGATGTAAAGTTAATAATGAAACCTTGAAATTTAGGCCCTGAAGTATTAAGGGTGCTTTGTAAAATGGTGCAAACTCAAGTCATTGCAGTCCAGAACAATTGCAATAGCAATTTCTGGTTCAGATTGGATTGATGGAGTACTGCAATATGCTCAGAATAAAGTACAACCATTAGCATGCTTGAACCTGGCTACACCGTGCTTCTTCCATTTTAAATACATTAAATACATTTAAAAGAATGCCATATGGGAGGGGTCCTGGCCCCACTGAAATCAGTTAGATGTTTCAAAAATGTTGTTTGCAAGAAACCTCTGTAGGTCACCTAGTAGATATCCCAGATGAAGCAGGGCTGTCACTAGATCAGGTCAGTCATGGCTGAGTCCAGCCAAGTCCTGTAAACCTTTAAGAGTGGAGAATCCATGCTCTCTCTGGGCGGTGTGTTTCAGTGCTGTGCCACACTCTCCTGTGGAGGAAATATTTACTAATGTCCACCCTCAACCTCACAAAATGCAACTTGTGGGTGTTGCCCCTTGTATTATTATCTGGCACTGCAGAGAGAGGTTTGTCTGTGTCATCTTTGTAACTGTCTTTCAAGTTCTTGTAAGCTCCTATGAGATCTCCCCTCAGCCTATTGTCTGCAAAACTGAAGTCCAGCTCCTCTCAGCTTCATGTCACAGGTCCTCTGTCATGGTCTTTGACCTATTTGGAAGCCCTCTGCAAGTTCCTCTTCTATTTCTCCAGATCCCTGTTGAACTTGGTTCCCACAGCTAGCCACAGTCTGCTCCCAGTGTGTTCTCACCAGTGATTACCAGAGGGTGAGAGCATCTTCCTTGGGTGTGTTGTCCATGGCTCTCCAAATGTGGCCTAGTGTATGCAGAGGGCGAGGACAGCGTTGCTTCTTATTCAGCCTAGTGTCCATCATCACCCCAAGTCCTTTTTGAGTCCTTTTCAGTTGCTTTCCAGTCTGTCCTAATGCATGGAATTGTTTCATCTCAGCTGCAAAACTTTGTACTTCTCCTTGTTGAATGCCATGAGGTTTCTGTTGGCTCTGTCTTCCTGTTTTTGAAGGTTCCTTTGGATTCAAGCTCTACCATTCAGCATGTCAACTACTCTCTTTGATGTAGTGTCATGTGCAAATCTGCTGAGGGTGCAGTCTGTCCATTCTGTAGGTTCTTTATGAAGACATTGAACAATTTTTCTTCTACTCACAATGCCTGGGGTACTATGCTTGTCACAAGCCTGATGTTGAGCCAGTGGTCGCTGCCCTTCAGGCCTATCTTCAACCCACACAGTGGTCTGTTTGTTCAACCCTGCATCCTCAGCTTCCAAATGGGAATGCCATGGGAGATGGTGTCAGAAGCCTGACTGAAGATGTGCTACAGAAACTGCACTGTCCTCATCCACGTAGCCAGTCATCTTGTTGTAGAAGGCAGTGAGGTTGGTCAGGTATGATATGCTTGTGAAATTCCTTGTTGAGTGTCCATTATTACCTTCTTGTCCTTCATGTACTTGGAAATGGATTCCAGGAGGTTGTTCTCCGAGACTTTTACTGACCTGAGGTGAAGCCCAGTGGCCTATAGTTCCTTGAGCCCTGCTGCTCATCTCTTGTTGAGACTGGCTTTATGATAGCCTTTTCCCCAGTAGTCAGGTTACCTTCCCTGGTTGTTGTGATTTTGCATAGATGGTAGACAGGGGCCTTGATATCACATCAGCTGGATCTGTAAAATTACCCGAGTAACCTTTACCCATGTGTGAATGAGACAATCTGTGTGCACTTTTCTTCCATGCTATGTGGAACAGTTCAACATTAGATAAAGAGATTTCCTCTCATCTGGTAATCCTTCCTGCAGTTTTTCCCTCTATTGTCATGAAGTGCTTCCATATCAAAGTCATAAACTGCAAATTGAAGACGAGGGGAAAGAAGGATTAGTAATTTGTTAAATTAATGGGACTGAGTTATAGATGTGTGCGTATTAGAATATTAATATTGTGTTGGAGAAAGAGAGTGATGGGTCTGTATTTCCTGACTGCCATGCTCTTAGTTTAATTTTATTCAAGTGATCAAAATCTGAAATTAAATGAATGATTGGGTTTTTTTGACTGAAATTGAGGAGGGTGCATAGGAAAGGCATTATCTTTGTTTCAAAGGACCCAGAGGGTATGTTGTTCAGGAAGAACCCTCTGTGAGCAATTTTAGAACTAGGATGTTAATGATGTTGTGTGTCGTATAATTTCTGTCATATAATTCTATTGTTTAATTATCTGGCCTTTTCTGTACAAACTGAATAAGGCTGTTATAATGAACTCCACCACAACTTGGGCTTTGGAGTGGCTCTTGACAAAACTTTGCTGTGAAAAGTTCTCAGTCTGCTGTGATGGTCGTGCTGTATAAGTCACCATGATGTACAAGACTCTGGGAAATGGCCTAATTTGTACCAAACTGAAAAGAAATCACAGTGTTTGTTTCTCATGCCGTTCAAAATAACAAGTAGTTTTTGTTGAGTATGCTACTTATGATAAAAGAGCTGCTTAAACAGATGTATAAAGGGATTTTTATACTTGAAGCTAAATTATTGGTGATGGCTCTGTAGCATTATGTGAAAAAGTTACACGCTCAGGGCTGTCAGTATTCAGCAACAGTATTCAGTTTTGTTTCAGTGTGAGCACTACTGCCTTACCATCTAAAGTTTCAAAAGCAAACTGTTCAGGAGTTGATCATTCCAAGAGAAGCGAGGTAAGAAAATTATGGGCAATAAATTGAGGTGATACAGTAAGGTATATACCAGCAAGCAAAAGTAAGCTGCTGCTTTGCAGTATGATCCTGCAAGTTTGGTTGTGTACAGTTTATGGTTTGAGGTAAATTATAAACTTTTTCTGGAACCACTGTAAATTAGATGGGACTTCTTGGTTAAAAATCAGTAATTTATGTTGTGGAATAGTTTGCTTTTTCTTAAAGTTGTTGGCGCTGAATCACTTACCTTGTCCTAAGGAGGAGACCATCACTTATCTGTTGCTAGGGAGGAGACCAAAATTTCTGTTCAGATTTTTTTGCCCATTGCTGTTTCCTGTCCCTTCTTTGCTGTTGCTGTGTGTGGAGACATTGATTTTTGTGCTTAGGAAAAAGTGAATTGGTAAGCAGGAAAACGTGAAGTCCTGGTTTGTTGCAGAGTGGCAAGAGAGCATGGAATTAAGAAGGAATTGCATGTGTTTGGTGAGGTCGGTGTTAAGCAGGGCTTTCTGCATAGTGGATTTGCTGTTACCATGTTGAGCTTCCTTCAAATGAAGCATGACATGAGAAATAATATTTTGACTACGTTTTGTTCAGTGCAATATGCTGGTAATGCTGGTAATGAGGAGTAACTGCAGAACAAAACGAACTCAGATACTTTTCTCATCTGAGGCTTGAGATTAATTCAAGGTTTAAGGACCAAGTTTCTGTTGGCTGCTTTGGAGAGAAGGTAGTAACCAGGAAGGAGAGGGAGAAGGGAGTAGTGGCACTACAGCACCATAACCTAGGACCTTGTCTGTGGCTAAGATACACTGTCCTGCTGGAAGAGTTGAATTTCTTAATTTCTCATTGTAGCCACATGAGAGCCAGGCTTGTTTGGAATTTGTTGTGCTATGTGTTTGTTGAAAACAGTCAGCCCATGAATTGGAACAAGTCTCTAGTTTTGACCTCTAAGGAAGTTTTCTTCCTTTGGATCAGTGAGGTGGAAAAACACAGGCTGATTATAATCAAGAAGATGGAGCAGGAAGTGTTTTTTTCAGAACAGAATATAATTACTGCCACAAGGATCATGTGAGATACCACACTCTGTGTTTTGCTCCTTGAAGGAAATAATAAGGCCTTCTCTTCAATATGACATTTGTGCGCTTTACAAATGAGATGAATATCCTCATACCCATTCCTAAGTTAGGGAAGCTGAGGCACAGAGGGCAAGGAAGTGACTTGTCCTGGCTTTCCACAGGAAAGTTCACCAGCTGTGCTGGAAAATGAACCCAGTCTTTCTGTGTTCTGATCCACAGCTGAATTCATCAGGCTGTTACCGCTTACAGAAGACAAGCTGTGCGCTGCTGCTGCTGCTAGTTATGCAGCGTCTGTATTTGCAGATTCACTTCATTTTGTTCTCCCAGCGCTCGCTTTTCTTTCTGATTTCAGATGTTTCCTCTTCTGTTGCACAGCCAGACACTGTTCTACATGAAGAACCCTGTATTTCCCCTTCCTGTTCCTGCCCCCCTCAGTTTCTCTTATGTCACTAATTATTCAGACTCTATTTTGATTTATGAAATGTACTGCCAGTATCACAGCAGTGCTCAGAAGACCCTGCCTGAGCAGAGATGTCCCTTTGTCTAAGTGTCATACAAATGCAGAATTACTGCAGAAAGCTAAAACAGCAGTAGCAGTACAAGTGACCAGATACAGGTAGTAACAGTATCTCTGGAATTCATGAATTTTGAAATATAATCTGTGGGGCCTATTATTTAATCTGTTTCTGCTGTCTTGGATGTTACAAGCTACTGAGCCCTGAAAGCCCTTGAAGGGCTGGGTTTTGGGAGTATCAAGAATTGCTTAGGATTAGAGTCTGGCTCTTACTACTCACTCCCACCCTTAGCTAGGAAGAGAATCAGTAGTGTGGTCCATATGGACAAATTGTCCCTCCAGATAAAGTGTCTGCTTGAATGGATGAGAGTTACCTGTGTTGCCATCTAAAGGTTGTTCCTCATAATAGGCAAAATCATACCAACCTCATTCTGGAAAGCGCAGGTACAGGGGGCTGTGAATCTCTCAGAGCAGCTGTTAGATTAAAGTTGGGTTGATAAAACTGTCCACACTTGATAAATCACCTGCACTTTCTATTGTGTTACAAACATGGAAAGGTGCTGTTATGAAATTATTTTAAACTCACTGGATTTTTAAAAATTTACTTTTAAAAAAGCTGTCAAGGGAAAAGTCTGTTCAGATGGACTGAGCACGGTCATCTCCCTCTTCAGAAGGGGAAGCTGTAAGCTGAGGAATGAAACCAAAATTAAGACATCTAAAATTTTTGTAGCTCTTCAGTAGTGATGTGGGTGGAAGACGATTACTATATTTATACTACAGGATTTTAAAATTAAAAATCTATTGAAGTTTTTTTCTAATGTTTTTGTTTTGCCTTCTAAACCGGATTCTTTTCCTTTGTTTGCGTGCCATACATAACTGCTTGTTTGCCTCTGCTGCCCTGGTCTAGAAGGAACTCCTTCCTTTCCTCTTCCAAGTCAGTGAATCATTTGTTAATAATACCAAAGTTTATTTACTTCCTGATAGATAGACCAAACTGCAGGACTAGAAAATCTGTCTTACTGCTGATACGATATTAGTCTACAGCTCTTCAGTTAGCTTGGCATTTCAATTTTAGATTTAAATTCAGAAGCTTTTCATTTCCTAGTGCCACTTAATACATTCAGCTCCAGTTAAAGAGTACTGTTCCTGTTGTAATGGACTGGTCTAAGTCAGGGACATATTGCACTAGATGGCATTATACCTTAGAAAAAGAAAAAAAAAGAAAAAAAAAAGAGAGAGAGAGAAAAGACATATTGTGAAGATTTGAGTCATTGATAGCTTCAGGATAAAGACAGAGCCTCAAGATTTTTTTTTTTTTATTACTGCTTTTACAATCCATCCCCTTCTGTGAGTTTGTGATTGACTTTGCAGACTTGACTTTTTTTTTCCTCTCTGGAAGAATTGAGATTGAATATATTTTGTTGTCTTGCATTGTAAATGAGCAGCTCATGCATAAGTATCTTTTCCTTTTAAAGGTCAAGTACATACAAATCTCAGGGGATTGATGTCACAGTTAAGTACAGTCAAGGAAGCTGGACTGGAGTGCTGGGTACAGATGTCATTACTATGCCAAAAGGAATCTATGGCAGCTACACCATCAACATTGCTACCATTCTTGAATCAGAGAATTTCTTCTTGCCAGGAGTTAAATGGCATGGGATTCTTGGACTTGCCTACGATGCCTTAGCCAAGGTAAATCATCCTTTCCCCAACTATTGTCTTTCACAGTGACAATAAATAGATCTCTAATTATTAAAATAAAGTGAGCAGATGATATGTCACCATTAGACTCCTCCCTTCCTTTCCTATGGATCCTTTGGGTTGTTCCACAAAGAATAAATTGGGTTGTAATGGTACCACAGTCCCATGTGAAGATTTTTACTTCTCTGTGGATGAAGATTCCAATTTTAGGTCCTCTTGAATGAACTAAGTTCTTACAGAGCTTATAGTACCAGAGTATGGGAGTAAAGGCTTCTGGTATGCATATTGATGGGGTGTATTAGGGCTCTGATGATCTCCTTCAAGACTTGTCAATGGACTGACGTACTTACTTGGCAAAGCCCTTGGCAGTTCATCCTAAGACATTCTCAATTTATCAAGCAAAAGTTCAGATGAAGGACATGTGTGGGTAATTTCAGAACAGATGTTAGCTACAGTGTTTTCATTAACATAGACCCAAGTACATCCTTTTCTTGTGGAGGTAGGAAATTCAGGTAGAAGTTTAAATTAAAACCTAAAATTCGTAGTCTAAAATTTATAACTTTATAATCTAAAACTGCAAACGTGATTGGAATACTACATAGTCATAGTTTTCAACCTACACATAAATGTCTGAGAAATTCATAGACTGAGATATATCCCATTAGAACAAATTATTCAATACTGCCTGCCAACTCTGGAATTAAAACGCTTTATTCAAGAGTTGTGTGATCATTGTATTGACATCGGCTGTATTTGCTGTCATACAGAGAAGACCTGCTTCTCAAACTCTGGATTGGGCAAATAATGTATTCAGGCCGTTTATTTTTCCCTTCTTCCAAAGATTTAAGTGCTGTTGGCTTCTGAGGCTGCTCTGTGCTTTGTGTAGTAAGAGCACTTGGCACCTCGCAAGCTCACCAGGGTCTCTGCCTGTCTTTCAGGAGATGTACCTGCACAGAAGTCTGAATTACAATGAAATTGCAGTACTCTGGTAACTACAAAGGCAAGCATGACAGGCAGCATAGGAAAGAACCTTTTGGCTAGTAATTGGCTGAAGAGAGTGTGCTTGGTTATGAAGTTCTTTAAAAGAAAGAAGAGGAAATTAGGGCCATTGTATTCCAAGTACATTAGAATTAAACTAAGTTTAAAAACTGAAAATCCTCACTTTAAAATTCTGCCTTTTAACTGTGGATGGGTGAGAAGGGCAGGTTACATTTGACTGTTCTAATAACCCAATGCCTTTTCCAAACAGAAAGCATAGGTGAGAGTTTCTGCCTGAAACTGAAACTAATATTTAAATTTGAAAACTGCAGTTGAAAAATACTCTTGTGCTTTAGGAATTTCAGTGACAGTGGTCAAGGTTTTGAAAAACAATAGAAACAGAGAAATGACAGATGTTGGTTTTTTAAAGACTTATTATATCTAGAATTTTTATTACCTGGTTGTCAGAAACTCAGTTTACTTATGAAAAGTGGTTTTGTTTGAATGATTTGCTCATTTCTGCAAATAATTTTTTTAATTACTACTTCTGCAATTCTTTTGGGTTTTTTTGTTTTGTTTTTCAACACCTCAAGCCTTCAAGTTCTGTGGAGACGTTCTTTGATTCTCTTGTGAGGCAAGCAGAGATCCCCAACATTTTCTCCTTGCAGATGTGTGGTGCTGGACTGCCTGTTTCTGGAAGTGGTACCAACGGAGGTAGTCTTGTGGGTATCTGTCAATCTGAGAGGGAAGATGTATCTTTATAAATCTCTCTCCCTCTTTTCTATGACTGTCTTAATACTTCCAAATTTAGTATTTGAATATATGATTTAGTATTTGAATATATGATTTTATAGTATAGTATAGTCCAGTCCTGGCAGTCTGGTGAAGTTCCCGCAGACTGGAAAAAGGGGAACATAACCCCCATTTTTAAAAAGGGTAACAAAGAAGACCCGGGGAACTACAGGGTGGTCAGTCTCACCTCGGTGCCAGGCAAGATCATGGAGCAGATACTCCTAGAAATTATGCTAAGGCACATGGCGAATGAGAAGATGACTGATGACAACCAACATGGCTTCACCAGGGGCAGGTCATGCCTGACAAATCTGGTGGATTTTTATGATGGGGTTACAACATTGATAGATAAGGCTAAAGCAAC